CACACACACACACACACACACACACACACACACACACACACACACCCTTTGCCTTCTCTGTTTTTGCTCTGCTACACCGTGGAACGGTTGAAAAGCTTTTTATATCCCACACATCACAGCCTAGTTACAATCAATAGCGTTTATGTCTGCTTGAGTCACGGGGTTCATGAGGGAACACGGTGCACCGGCCACGTGCACGGTTACATACAAGCGTGCGCATACATATGCCACCCACACAAAAAGCAGGCGCACATTTGATCTCATCCATCTTCTCTGTAACGTAATTAGAATCAGCGGCTCTAAGATGACTCACACTGCTCGAGACAGAGACTATACTTGGCTTTTATCGGGAAGGGGGTGGTGGTGGTGGTGGTGGTGAGGGTCTCCACTCCACCAAGAAACTGACAGGCTCTTCGCCCCTATTCCACCACCACCCATCTCAAAAAAAAAAAAGAAAAAACACAGAACAGATTTAAAGTGTCAGGGAAAATCAGCTCAAATTTAGTTTCGCWACACGCTAGTGTTCTGAGAACGCTGCTATCATCTCAGTCCATATAGATGTGTCGACATCAAATTCCAAGACYAGAGGAGAGCAGAAAGGCGGGTCAGGATGGTACCGGATGAAATCGGGAGGTTAGAGGACCTGGAGGGGGAGAGCTGAGGGGGCAGCAGAAGTAAAAATTAAACGAGGAAGATGGTGCGATAAGAGGAACGAGGACTGGAGTTTGATTGAGAGGAGGAGGACAGAGAGAGGAGAYACGAAGTGTGTATATGTTAGTTTATTGATTGTTAACTGCTCTGTCCTCTCTTTCTGTTGTCACGAGATAAGGCGCAGAAGCATTTTTCTCCCCTGACACACACACACAGAAAGGCACGCGCGCACGCACACACCTGTCCCTAATGTTTTAAAGTGTCGTGATTGATTGCCGAGCAGCAGGTTTGACATTGAGCCCAAAGAAGGCTCAGCAGTAGGTCCTGCCATGTCTGGTGTCACTATCATACCTCTGTCTTTGTTCACYTATGACTCCCGGCGTGTGTCTGTGTGTTTGTGCGTGTGTGTTCATCCCACCAGGTGACTACAGAAAGGGAGCTTAGAGGCCAATGTTCTTGCTGTGCCAGTAAATCACCCTACTAAAATATTAACATGTTTGGAGCATGGGGGTATGTATGAGAGAAGAGGGGGAGCATGAGATCCAGTGTGTTGACTGTGGGAGAGTAACACTGACGTCACAGTGGTACACAGTGTGCCTGTGTGAGCCAAAGAATTTTTATTTGTCGGCTTGAAATGTAAGCTTTAAAATAAAAGATTTCTGATGTTTACCCATCATATTCTTGACAGCTTGTTTGCCTGTCTCATAGTCTCCATATCCTGTGCTCCGCTAGGCCTCAGAATGGCTCTATGATCCTCTACAACCGTAAAAAGGTGAAGTACAGGAAAGATGGCTACTGCTGGAAGAAGAGGAAAGATGGGAAGACCACCCGAGAGGATCATATGAAGTTAAAAGTCCAGGGAGTTGAGGTAAGAGGCTGCAGTGGAAAAACAAGTCGATGATTCGCTGCCGTGTATGGTTTCACTGCCAATCTTGTCCTTAGCATGCGCTCCTCGCCTCCGAGGAGACACATACGTGTAGCCCGAATGAACACATGAAATGCTGAATCTACAGGCCAATTTGTGTCCTGGAAGTGAGCGGTGCCCCTATTTCTTTCCCTCTCGCCATGCTCCAGTCCCCGTCTCACTTCCTCTCTCTTTCTGAAGGATAAGAGCGTGTTTGACCTGAGGCCAGAAATGATGTCATTGCCTCCTTCAGCAGAACAGAGAGGGGTATCGATCCAGTCTCAAGGCAGCGTCTGTGCATGTGTGTGAGTGTGTGTGTTTGAGTCACATCAGCCAGCTCAGAAATTGATTATTCAGCAGGAATGTAGCAGGAGGTGAGAGGAGTGAGCATGCATGTGTCAGAAACAGAAAGAATGAGGTGGAGAATGGAGCAGAGGAGAAACTCTGATGAGGCACATGGTTGTTTACAGGAGATTCAGGGTGGGTTTAGCATTAAAGGCGAACAGAAAACAGGTCAAAAAAGAAGGAATAATTGAGATCAAGTACTCCTCAATCATTCACAGTCTCTCACGAATACTATCTCTTGTGTATTTTCTGTGCACTGCAGCTGAACACAATCCACACACTCAAACAAACGGGCGCACAAAGAAAAGCGTTTCTCTCCCTGGTACTTGGTCAGTAATTGTTTATGTCACTTRTTTCCAGGACCCCTGAAGCGAGCAAGTAAGCAGGGTGTAGAGCAGGGGGATCGGAATGAGGGAACGAGCAGAGCGGCGAGATGAGCAGAGAGAAAGAGAAGAAGAGTAGGGAGAGGCAGGAAGCATTAGAGAGAGAGAAAAAAACATAACCCTGGATGGAGAGCCTCCTCATATCGAATGGAAATATATGGAAATGCACTTTGCCTTTGGCAAAACACACTTTAGATAGAGAGCGGACTACTTCTGAGAAGAGAGAAAACATCACAGTGCACAAGTGTGAATGAGAAGGAAAACAGAACAAGCTACGAGTGTAAATTGCTTTCTGCTTGATTGTGAAGTATTTATGTTTGTGGTAATTTTGTCTTTAATACAGTGGCTTCATATGTTTTTGTGAATGTGTGTGTGTGGAGGGGATGACTTGATTTTACTTAAAATGTGTCAGTGGTGACCTTGATAGAAGGTTTTTCTGCCGTCACTTCACCCCTCATTTGACTTTTCTCAAGGTTTAAAACTTTCTAAGACTGAGGAAGTTTCTATTTTTAAATAGCACATACTTAAAATATATATTATTAAACAATATTCTTTAAATTAGTATTTCAGAAACAATTTTTGTACTTAAACACGTATTTCAATCCACATGAAATATTACWGTCTGAAGTTGTCCCTGAGTATAACTTTTTTTTGGTGCTTTTTCACACTCAAATAGGCACTCATTACTTTGCTTCAGTGTAATTATCCTCCACTGCATGTCTTAATTTTGTTCTCACTGAGGCTCCTCTCTCACTTCCTGCTTCCGCTCATGGTTTTGGTCATCGTATGGATCCTTCGTAAAGTGCGTGACGACTTTGTAACTTTTTCTGAATTCACAATAAGCTGCGCTCTTTCTTGCAGAGGTAGTGAATTTCTCAGTCTGTTGTGCTGTTATTGTCCACATCAGATTGATGGTATTTTAGAAAAGACATTAGGGAGAGAAAGAAAAAAACACATACAGCATGTTTGCAATTTACTTTCAGCACCACAATCAATACAACCTAAGTGGGTATAACCTAAGTTCTCCTCTCCTGTTCTCTCCTTCACTGTCCTCTCCTAATCCTCCTCTCCTTTTTGCAATTTTTGTATTGCTTCCTCCCGTTTTATTTTATTWWTTTTTTCTTGTTAACCATCTCCTRTCCTCTCCTGTCCTCTCCTCTCCTCTCTCCAGTGTCTGTATGGCTGCTACGTCCACTCCTCCATCATCCCCACCTTCCATCGTAGATGCTATTGGCTGCTGCAGGTAAGCTCACCGCCCTTTCCCACCTTGCCGCTCTCTCTCTCACACGCACATCTAAACACAAGCAAAAACGGGATTTTGTCTGACGTCATAATGCGTTGACAGCTTTGTCACTTTGAGCTTATTTTTCCCACTGTGGCCATGTGCAGCATTGTTTTCAACACACATAGTTTCACCTGTTAGATTTTCAACCATAAACTCGCAATAAAAGTCCTCCTCTTTCAAATTAATGAGGCAAATTCTGGCTGCTGGAAATACAGCCACAAGACTGCGCTGATAATAAAACTTAATGTTGTTTGCATTACTGGTGTCCTGCCTACATATAGACCGCTGTGGAATATATAGGCTCCACAAAACGTCACATTATGCAGCTTGGTAAAAATAATTTCGCAGGAGTTGACTGTAACTTCCTGAGAACAGTGTGTTGCCTAACCCTGACTCCTACTTTGGATCAAGGACTCGGGTGCTTCTCTCCATGTGGTCTTTTTGAAGGAAATGTCCTCGAGCTATGAAAAAACTCACACAACATATGCTCTTTCCCTCACACATGCGCACGTGCTCATGCGCGCTCAAACGCAGGTGTCCCCTGTGTGTAAAGGCACATGGATTTTCATTTAAAAAAAAACGTTGGACTCTACTGCTGGAGTGAGCGACGTCAGAAAGCAGCACATGCACGTCTCTCCTTTTGTTTGTCATGCATGGAATGACCACCAGGACCTCATCATCCTCAGACGACATGTTGCATGATGAATCTTGGCCCTGTCTGCACACGTTTAAGCTCTTCATCTTAAATTCCAAAACGTGCATTTAAAATATGAAATATGTGGTTGTCGCCAGGATACTTTTTTTGCGTAATTTGTCGCATAAAAAAATCACAAGGAAATTCCATCTATCTCTGTAAACTGAAATTTTAGGTCCATCCTCGATATATTTTCTTTACCAGCATGCCCCGCTAGTTAAAATCTTGCAGGCTGAAAATGGAAAGGGAAATTTGACTTGCTTTATCTGTAATGTGCCATTTTCTGCTCTTTGCACCGATATCAAAACACATCAGTGAATATGATCATGAATCAGTCCATGAAAGCTGTTGCACTGCAGAGTGCGGCACTGTAGAAGCCCACTGTGCTCTTTTTGGAGTGAAAAGTGTTCCACCTCGGCAGGTCCACCCCCTAACCTGAGTCTGTCTACTGAATCTTTCATCACGAGAAGGCTTTCTCTTTCTTTCTCACACACACACACACACACACACACACACACACACACACACACACAC